TAGATGTATGCCAGGCGCGTCGCAGCGTAACAGTGTTTCGTGAGATATCGCGAAGCCTGTTACGCGAGACGTGGTCTGGCGTACATCTACCTAGTTTACTATGGCAATTTTTAACTTACTTTCGTCACAAAAGACCCGCTAGCGCCTTAACGGTTAGAGATAGAGAAAAACGGGCGAAATTTTTGCCCTGGGGCAATTTAAAAAAGAAATTGGGAAAATTTTTGAACCTTGATAACCCCATTCACACCTTTGGGGGTGGCTGCCAGGATTTGCCGTAGGCGTTTCGTTCTCTAGAAGTAGACCTTAAGATACCATGAAAATTTCAAGTCTATAGCACATCTCCTTCTAGTGGAACAGACAGACACGAGGTCGTTTGTATAAGCCCGCAGGATAGCTTTTTTAAAGGAGAAGGGCGGGCTAAAAACAATAAAATGCAAAATTACGAAACAGCTTTTCCCGTCTTTAGCAGACGCAGCTGTTCACATCCAAAATGATGTGAAAGGCAAAGACGTTGCAACGAATACCGATGTCATCTTAACCGAGGAGAGAACACCTTAAATGGGTCTCATGAAGATTTATTACAGCCAGTATGCGGTACCTTTTAGTTCTATCTTAGTGGTCTGCGGCTGTTAGAACATCTCAGTAGAAACTAGCTACATGTTCGCCAGATCACGTCTCGCGCAACAAGCTTTGCGATATCTCACAGATCTCACAGAACAGTGTTACGCTGCGACGCACCTGGCGCACAATGAGCTAGGCCTTCGGCGCTGACAACCGAGACAAGTAAACAGGAGTGTATACGGGATTAGGGACTTTCGCCCCCAAATTTGCCATGCTTAAAGCATTTGTCGGAGACTTACTCCAAAATAAGGGAAATAAATTTTCTGTTATTTCATAAAGATGCTCATTGAAAGTTGTGATTTTGACAGGTTTTCTTAACACCCAAATGGTCGATTTGGCCTGTAGCACCTACCTGATTTTTGCTGCGGGGGTGGGTTTTTTGGTGGTAGAGTTAGAAAACTACCCCCATGAGTCGATGACCCTAATATTGAGCTACAGGCTTGATCCGAGGGTCGATTCTGACTAAGTTAGACCCAACGAACTCAGAAATGACTATTCAAATCATCTCCGGCCAAAATTAGTTCTGATTTTCTGGCCATTTTATGAGAAATTTCACCCGAGTAAGGTGATTTTCTGAACCAACGGTTCTGGGCATGTTTGGTATCGATTCTCTGGTTTTGATGGTATACAAACAGCTAGGACTGTTCAAAATATCGATGGGGTACTCTTTCCACGGTGTTGGGTGCAGTTGAGAGTCGTGTCATATAACCACCCCCAACTATCGGTGCCGCTTATGTCGGGCTTCCTGCGTCATGCGAGGGTACATTCTGACTAAATCGCACTCAAGGAACTCAAAACACTTAGAAGTAATAATCTTCCGATAAAACTAGTACTGATTTAGGCCCATTTGATAAGAAATTATGTTCGAATTTCTTCGTTCTTGTGATCTAACGGCTCTGGACATGATCGGTATCGATTCTATGGTTTCGATTGTATACAAACCGCTGGTCATGTTAAAAAGGATGGTGGGGTACTTTTTCCATGGTGCAGCCGTCTTCCATTCAGACTTGTTAGCATATCCCCAGCCTTCAGGGTAAGGGAGGGTGGGGCAGTGTTTAACAGATTTTGGGATTTGGGTATAAAAGTCAAACTACATAAAAATGTTAGGTAAATCGGACGCAAAAAGAGAGACTAGAACTTTATCACGCCAAAAAGCTGCTCGCATGTATTACTAGGGGCATTCATGAACGACCTAGAGGTGTTGAACAAAGGTCTGCATTTGTTACACACTGCCCTACCCCGCGGCAGTGTGAACGACAGTGGGGCAGTGTGTACAAAGGGGATGTATTGGGCTCTGGAAAAGCTAGAAAGAGCGAAAACAGCCTACTTTTGCTTTCTTAAAAAAGCTGCTGATATAATAATAACAGTTTATCAACATAGTTCATTGTTGTTATTTTCTTTTAATTGAAAACACCAAATTGGTACTTATTTTGGATATATATATTTTGTTAATTTGGACTGTACACAAACAATTGTGCTTCAGTAAGACTGTTAGGGCATAGAAATACCGTTGATGTAAGCAAATAAGACGATTTGTTTCTTACACAAGGCCCCTGACTACGCTCCACGCTTTTGTTACACACTGCCCCAAGGTACACAGCCTGTTTGTGGCTTCGTAGGCCCAGAACCCTTCAGGTTGTGTTAGTGGCAACCACTTTCCAAGTAGGGGGGTAGTTTGTAACCCAATAAGCTCAACCCTAAGAGTTTTATGTCCTTATATGACGAAACTTGCCTAAAAACCGGGTTAAAACCTGACTTGGCCGGCCTTTCTTACCAACGTCAGCCCCCCCCCCCCCCCCAACCACGGAGTTGTTGATTGATTGCACACGACCTTAGTCATTCAGAAGCAGAAGACATAATGTAAACATTCCTATTTGGTTCTGGACGTGCCATATTCGAAATACAGAGGTATATTACACACTGCCCCACCCTCCCTTACACTGTCGGGCCTTTAAGTCTTGTTGGGCAAGCTCACATGTGTCCGGCTATGTGAGCGGCTCGCTTCATTTTCTCGTGTGAGTGACGAATGGCAGAAATATGTTAGTACGCTAGCTGCGCCGTTAAAAAATAACCCCACCTTCACTCTAAATGTCAAGGGACAATTTTGTCCGTAGATTTGCAACGATTTCGTGCACATCCAGAAAGGATGCAATTTTGTTCCCTTAATTGGACAAATTGTGTGAAGTTTCACACAATTTGTCTAGTTTTAGGAAAAAAATTGCATCCTTTCTGGATGTGCACGAAATCGTTGCAAATCTACGGACAAAATTGTCCCTTTACATTTTGAGTGTTTATTTTTAACATGCTCAGCGGTTTGTTTACCATCAAAACCATAGAATCGATACCGAGCATGTCCAGAGCCGTGAGATCACAAGAACTAACAAATTCGAACAACATTTCTTATCAAATGGCCTAAAATCAGTACTATTTTCATCAGAAGATCATTACTTTGAAGAGTTTTGAGTTCCTGGAGTGCGATTTAGGGTCAGGTAGAGGAAAAACGAGTCATTTCGACAACTTTTGTCTTATCTAGCATTTAAATGGTTATTTGATAAGTTTTACTGCGTCTGGTCGATGAAATAGAAATACAACCCCAGTAATCAAATTAAAGCGTTTTTTCAGTACCGCAACCTGTGGTGTATTCAAAATCCGAAATAGTGTGTGTGTTTTTGCCAACACGCATTTCGGGGAAAATGAGACTCCCGTGGGTGAGAATGAGACAGCCAAAAACCCAGCAAATAAGATAGGGACCTGCCTTGGGGAAATACGAGACAGCGCCACTCCATTTTTTGTCTCATTTTTCCCCGCATTGGCTTCCCATGTAAAGTCAATGGAACTGAGTGTATCTTTCTTCC